TCAACAGAACAGTCCAGATTCAGCAACAGAATAGTCCTGATCCAGCAACAGGACAGTCCAGGTCCAGTAACAGAACTGTCCAAATCCAGCAACAGAACATTCCAGATCCAGTAACAAAAGAGTACAGATCCAGCAGCAGGACAGTCCAGATCCAGCAGCAGGACAGTCCAGATCCAGTAGCAGGACAGTCCAGATCCAGCAACAGAACATTCCAGATCCAGTAACAAAAGAGTACAGATCCAGCAGCAGGACAGTACAGATCCAGCAGCAGGACAGTCCAGATCCAGCAGCAGGACAGTCCAGATCCATCAACTGAACAGTCCAGATCCAGCAGCAGGACAGTCCAGATCCAGCCGCAGGACAGTCCAGATCCATCAACTGAAGAGTCCAGATCCAGCAGCAGGGTGCAGACTGACATCAGTCTGGGTTTCCCACCATCCTCTGCTGCATCTGGAACATTTCTCCTCGGAGCTGATGATGTTTCCAACCTTCAGTCAGGACTTCATGTCTTCAGTGTCCTCTGGGTTTAGCAGATGAAGCTCAACGGATCAGTTTTTTTGTCTCCACTGATCTAAGGTGAGCAGGTGTAAACTCTGAACGTTTTGAGATGACCATTAATGCCGGAGAGACCCTGGTTCTGTCTGCTCCTGTTCCAGGACTGGGGGTCCGCCGCAGCTGCACAGAGTCCTGAACCCAGACCCGGGAAGTGTCAGCAGCTGAAGCTCACCTCCTCTCTCTTCATGTCTCTTTAAGAAACAAGAATCAGCTTCATCCTCCGCTGGATACGAACTTTGACACAACACCGGACCGAGAAGCCCGCGGCGATGCTGCGTCCGATCCGCGTCCTGCTGCTGCTGCACCTGGTCCTGCTGGTTCCGGACTGTCCTGCGGGGCCCACCCTGGTCCGGAAGAAGGCCACCAGGACCTGTTCGGACCTGCCGGAGGAAGTTTTGGAGCAGATGTTCGGGCGGCTCTCTGTGGGGGTGATGAGCGCGTTTCACCACGCGCTGCAGCTGGAGCCCCGGGTCCAACTGAACCAGAGCTGTCCGAACCGAGCCCCGAGCCGGAGCCACAGCCTCCCGGCCAACCTGCTCAGCATCTCCCCCTGGACCTACAGGTACTGCTCATCTCCATGTGCATGACGTCACAGAGTGCGCAGCAACGTGCACTACTTATAACTAATTAATAAATCTGATCAGATGTTTATTAATTATTTCATTCAACTTAATGTTCACTAATGTTTGTAGATTCCATCTAAAGTGAGGAAGACTGAGTGTAGTGTGAGGTTCTGTAAAAACAAGACCGCACGCACGCACGCACGCACGCACGCACGCACAGGCAAAACGATTATAACTCAAAACGAACGTGCACGTTGGATTCAGTTGAGTTTATTGTGCAGCTTCAAGTCCCGACAGTCTGTCCCTGAGCAGAGCTGCTGAAGCTTCAGTGCCACAGTCTCCATCCTGTCAGGACCTTCTGCCCTGGAAGATCTCAAGATCTCCACCTTGACCTGAAGTGGCTTCAAACATCTGTGAAGTTCCTGGAAGAACCAACACACACATGTTCCTGGTTTATTGTTTTATGTTGTTTTAAGATCTAATGCTTTTCATGTTTGATACCATTTTATTTCACTTTATGATTGTCCACGGTCGTCATCACTGTTTAAATCAGGCGTCTCTTTAAACGAGTCCCCAGGCTCAGTGGACTGAGCTGTAGAGATAAAGCTTGAATGGAAAAACAAGAGCAGTCGATTTACAATTTAAAAAGATCATTAAGATCTGAAGCTCTCGACCTTTGACCTCTCTAAGTGGCTTTAAGAATCAGAATCAGAATCAGTTTATTATCGCCATGTCAATGAACGAGGTTCACAAACTAGGAATTTGCTTCGACATAAGGTGTGAATAGTAATAAAGTAAAAATAAAGTAAAAATAAAGTAAAAATGAGAACATTACACAAGACATAAGCCTGTGTACACCCACAAATAAAGTAAAATTAAAAACATAACATAACCATATGTACACCCATACAATAGAAACAATAAAAAAGCTTAGAGAACAGTACAGATGGAGTATTAAATTATAAAACAGATGTAATGTGACCAAAGCAGAAATTATGAGGTAGCATTATGAGTGTTCAGGAGTCCAACAGCAGAGGGGAAGAAACTGTTCTTATGGCGGGAGGTTCTGGTCCGAATGGACCGAAGCCTCCTGCCTGAGGGGAGTGGTTCAAACAGTCCGTGTGCAGGGTGAGCAGGGTCAGCTGTGATCCGACCTGCTCGCCTCACAGTCCTGGAGACGTACAGGTCGTGGAGGGATGAAAGGCTGCAGTCTGAGTCTGTCCCTGGCAGTGGCCCCGGCGTACCACACCGTGATGGAGGAGCTGAGGATGGACTCGATGATGGCCGTGTAGAACTGCACCATCAGCTTGGCCGGCAGTTTGGCCTTCTTCAGCTGTCGCAGGAAGTACAGTCTCTGCTGGGCCTTCTTGATGAGGGAGCTGATGGTCGGCTCCCTCTTGAGGTCCTGGGTGATGGTGGTGCCGAGGAACCGATAAGAGTTTGCAGTGGTGATGGGGGTATCATTACAGGTGAGGGGGGGCAGAGGGGCTGTGGCTTTCCTGAAGTCCACAATCATCTCCACTGTCTTCTGGGCATTGAGTTCCAGGTTGTTGCTGCTGCACCAGGTCACCAGCCGGTCCACCATGTCAAGAATCTGTTGGACTCCTGGCAGGGACCAATGCAGACATGTTCCTGTTGTTAGTTTCTACATTCACTTTAGAATCTGGCTGTTTTTTTGTTACCTTTTCCTTTTAGCCATCCTATTTGTAAATAAAATAAATAAATAAAAAAAATAAAAAACTGTATTATGACTTTTTATAATTGTTTATTGTTGTCCATTGTTGTCATCTTTCTTTGTTGAAATCAGGTCTCTCTTGTAAATGAGTCCTCGAGGCTCAGTGGGATTTACCTGTCTAAATAAAGGTTGATTGATTAAACTAAATAAAACAGATATATTGTCAGGTGATGTAAAACCAGGAGCAGGTCTGCGTTGGTTCTTGTCAGGAACTGATCACGTTTAGGAGGACACTCTTTGTTATCTCAGTAACATCAGCTGTGAAACAGGAAGTTGACCACCACCACCAGCTGATCCTCTTACATTTTTTATAGCTTTGGACTTTACTGTGGCACCCCAAGATCAGGGCCCGTCTGACCCCCCACCTGTGTGCACACATTTAAAACACAAACCCATTTTTTGCAGGATCTCGTACGACCCCAACCGATACCCCCGCTCCATCCCGGAGGCCTACTGCCTGTGCAAGGGCTGCCTGCTCGGCCCGTCCAGGGAGGAGAGCGAGCAGCACCGCAGCACCCCAGTCTATGCTCCCTCTGTGGTCCTGAAGAGGACCGGGTCCTGCGTCGGAGGACGACACTCCTACACCGAGATCTACGTCTCCGTGGCTGTGGGGTGCACCTGCACGCCCGTGATGGAGAAGGAACGAGGCGGGCAGGAGAGCAAGCAGAGCCTGGAGGGGCCACAGCCAGACAGCTGAACTCTGCAGGCAGGAAACATGAAGGACGGAGGGGGTGCAGCTGGACCACTGAGACCAGGACTCTTGATGCAGTTTGACTCTAAATACCATGTGTTGAAATCTACATGTACAGTTGTTTGGAAAGTGTAAAGTGTCAAACACTTTACTATTAAAGAACACGTGTCAAACACTTTACTA